GGCTGGGGGGGGGAAAGGTTTCTTCTCCCCTCCTTGCAAGGACGCGTCCTTCGAGCGTCCGCCAGCAGGGAAGCAGAGCCGCCCCGCCGCGCTGGTGCTCGGCCGCCAGGCCGGCGAGGAAATCGGGGCGCTGCGCTCGCCGTCTTCGGGCGGGCGGGCGGACGTGCCAAGGTGGAAGCGAAGAAGGGCTACGCGGTAGGCGAGCAGCGGGGATTTGGGGAAAACGGGGGCGTGAAGGGCGAAGAGCCAAGGACCAGCCTGGTTTAGTGCTCCTTTAGTGAAGGGGCAGGAAGGGCGAGCGGGGGAAGTAGATGGTCTGGGGGCAGCTTTTTGGTGGGGCAGGAGGAGATAGGTGAGCAGCAGGCAGGGACGGTTGGCGGGCAAAGAGCGAGGGCTGGGAAGCAGAGGTGTGATAGCGGTGAAACCTGCTTAAAAATGTTCTGCAACTGCCAGTCTGGGCAACGTGGGACACCTGTCAAGTGTCAGAACCGTAAATCGTAGTCACTTTTCTTGTGTTTCCGGATATTGTTGTACATGCTGTGCAAGGTGCTGCCATTCACGTAGAAGATCAAAGGTGAAGAATTAATGCAGTGATAAGTGGGAAGGTACTGCTAGTTACTGGCCCAACGTTAGCCACGGTAAAATGGCACAGCTACCGCTGTGGCCCACTTACATCGAAACGGTTATTTTATCAGTGTTCAGGAAATCTTGAAGCGCTCTGCACCGGGACGCCTGTGCCGGCTTTGAAATAAGAAAGACTGAGCCGTGTTGCATCCCTGTTTGAAAGCTATTCTGAAAGCTCGCTCGAAACAAGCACAGAGTCAGCGAGCGTAAGCAGCCCCTTCGCACGAAGCGCTTATGCAGATACCCAGACACTTGGGGTGAGTAGGGACCGTGCAGACTGCTAACAGGAAATAAGACCTGTGAGCACAAGCTCCTGCTTCACGGAGCTCCATCAGCCAGGCTGGGCGTTGCTCTCGGTGAGCTGGTGCACGTTAAATGTGAAGTGCCCTTGTATCGCCAAGGCGGCGCGCACGTGAAGTGGTTACGGATTGTGTGAGCACAAGGCCTTTGAGGGTCGATGTTTTAAGAGGGGGAACCCGCCCAAATTGCTTGAATAGAAAGCTAAGTGTGGTAGGTATGTTCTCGATGTTTTTTTGTCCCTATTTTACTTAGTTACAAAGAAGAAATAGCAACCAAATCTGGCTCACGAATATTTGAAAAGCCGACCGGTACGTCCAAAGAAGTTGAAGACTGCACTGATGTTAAGATAGATGAAGCCTTTAACGGTGCATGTCATTTAGGAAATGGAATTTCTTCAAGTTAATTTTGATCTGTAGGCGGTTCGGATTCATTGACCTGCAACTGTAGCGCTTGGAGGAAAAACTTGTAATATTTTTCCTGTCAACTCAGTGCATTGGAAGCTGTGATTATTTATTACTAGCTAGGTGCTGCTGTGCCAGTATTCTGCTAGCATTTTGAGACCGCGGGAGGAACTGTGGGTGCTGTAGTTTTCTTATTTGAGGCTCTCTTGTTGTAACGCTCGTTTAGGGCAGGACCTTAAATTGCCCATTTTTCTGGCAGCTGACATAACTAGGATACGAACCGATCATGGGAACATGTATTTTAACAGCACATTTTTCTTTTTATGTAGCTCATCACCAGAGTGGACGTAACAGCGGTGTGATTCACAGCGGAATTTACTACACCCCGGGATCTCTGAAAGCGAAGCTGTGCGTGCGGGGGGCAGCCCTCTGCTACGAGTACTGTGACCAGAAGGGAATACCGTATAAACAGTGTGGGAAGGTATAGGAACTGCTGTGTATTCTTTGCCTTTGGAAACTGTGACTGCATAGTATATGTTACGATGTATGGCATAGACGCGGTTGTGGTACTTTCAGCCGGGAGATGCTTTTGTGCAACACTTATCACCTTTGGGAAGAATCTGCCTTTTTTTTTTCTTTCTTTTTTTCATTACATCAATTCAAGTCAGTTCCTTCTCTGGGCCTAAGCAGTAAATTCTTGAATGAAGGCTGAGCTGAAATACCCCAGGTAAAGGAAGAAGCTAAGCGCTCTTCCCCATGTAGAGCCGCTAGCTCCAGGGAGTACAAAGGCTCCCAGTATGCTTGTGCCATGCTTCTTGGCGTACCAGGCTCTGAATTCAGAGACTCACTGACTTGACTAAAGCTCCAGATGGGACCCAGCTGCCTGCATTTATGCCACGTTACCTCCAGCTAATGCAACTTAAAATGCTGGGGAGGTAAGAGTGGCTGATTGTGATCAGGGTCTAGCCAACCCTGTATCCTGTTTCCAGGAACGTCTATAAACAGAGACTGAGGAAGGAATAGGAACAAGACAAGAAAATGTGATTAGTTATTAACTCTCCCAGCTTCAAACAACTTTCAGCCCAGAATAAGTCTCTGAGCCTGACGTGGCTTGTCTGTTATGATGGTCAAGAGATTTCTCTTCCACGTACCTTTCCATTAAAACGTTTTGCATGAGAGCGTCCTTTGGCAAGCAGTTCCAGAGGTCAACAACCCATTGCATAAAGAGCCACCTCCTCTTGTTTTGAAACCAGCTCCTCCTAGCTTCATCTGATGGCCCCTAGTCCTTGTGTTGGAAGAGGTGGTGAACAGCTGATCTGTGCTCACGCTCTCCAGGTCAATCATAATTTTATCTCTCTTCCTCCCCCAACGTCATTTCCTTCAGCTGGTGAGTCCTAGTCTCCTCAATCATTCCTCTTAGAAAAGCTGTTTCATGACTGATCATCCCTGTCCTTTTCTGAACCGTTTCTACTTTTAATGCACCTTTGATACAAGATGAGAAGACCAGAACTACACGCAGCGTTGAAGGTGTGGTCAGACTGGATTTTAGCAGTGAAATAGTGCTGTTCTTTGCATTACTCTCTATGCCTTACCTAATTGTTCCTAACATTCAGCTTGGGGCTTTTTTGACCACTACTGGGCTGATGTTTTCGCAGGATTGACTCGTAACCCTAAGGCTAAGACTATTTTTTCCCATCACGTTTATCTACATTGCATTTCATCTGCTATTTCATTAGCCAGTCATTTACCTCATAAGGTCCTTTCGCGGTTCTTTAGAGACAGCTCTTGTCTAGGCCACCTTGAATCACTTTGCAACATCAAAGGTGACTTTCTCACCTCCCTGGTCACCCCTTCCCAGCTCACTCGTGAACATCCTGGGCCGCAGCAGCCTCTGTCTCGTCAGTGCAGTACAGACCCCGTCTGGTGCTGCAAGAGCCAGGTCAGAGTGACTCTTCCGCAGCACCATCCAGGTCCTGGGTGCTTAGTTAATGCTCTCTCCCACATCGTGGGGTGCAGAGTGGAGATGCCTGGACACGGCAGCGCCGATGGGCCCTGCGTCAGCATCCTGTTTGTCTTGCTCTGACTGTGCAGAGCCCTGAGAGTGCACGCTGCACTCCTTAGGCTGGGTCACAAGATGGCACTGTTGATTTGTGCAGTAGCACACCTGAAGTTAGGCACTTACAAACCTACCCTGAACGCAAAGCACCAAGACATACGGGGTGGGACAGCAGACCAGCTGGGCTTGGGAGGGCTAGCCCGGACCCAGAGGCATTGCCCGTCCTTTGCTGATGCTGAATTTGTGTGTTTCTGTGTTGCCTTCCCCGGCAATCTCTATTCCAGGGAAGATAACGCCGAGGCACTAAGACTTGTTTTAAACAAAGCAGCCCCCGGCTGGAGAACGTAGAGCAACAGTGCCTGTGTTGCTAGACCTGAGCTGCCTCTGGAAGTGGTATGGTCTGTACAAACTGAGCCTTCGTGGTTTTGCCACAGATAATTTACAGACTGGACAAATGTCTTAAGATAGCTGAGGGCTAACTGTACGCTGAAATGAGGCAAGACTAGTGTAGTCCAGTTTAGACACTGTGTCAGCACACCTCCTTACTCTGATATCAATCAAGACTGTTTGAGACTTTTAGATGTTAAAAGTTTAACTTTTAGATGTTTAGAAGCATCCCAGTGGCTCTTTAAAAATCATATGTTCTTCTTTCACATTCAGATTTGTGGTCTCTGAGTACTTTTAGCAAATATTATCCATGGATAGTCACTTAAACTATATTTTAACATTTGTTTTTCACTGTCTCCTTAATATGCTACTGCTTTCTCGGTAATAGTAGGTACTTACAGATTCTTGTGCCATTAATGGCACAAACTACAGCTTTTTCCCCTCCCTCGCGTTATAATTTACTGTTCACTCGTTCACTGTTGCTTGCTTGTTAGCTTGGGCTTGATGCCAAGCCTGAGCTGGCTTTGTGCGTTTTGCTCACTGGTGTGCCTTGTCATCTTTTCTGAAGCTAATTGTAGCCGTTGAACAAGACGAAATTCCAAGACTCAAAGCTCTGTACGAAAGAGGGCTGCAGAACAACGTCCGAGGCCTGAAACTGATTGGAGCGAAAGAAATACAAGCAAAAGAACCCTTCTGCAGGGTAAGGGATTTTCTTATTCTGAAATGGGATGTAAACTGCCGGTTTCTCAGGTGACATTATTTTGCGTTTAACACACATACGTTTCTGGCCTTGAGGTAATTTGCACACGTAACAAATTTGAAAGAGAGCCTGCAGGCTGAGAAGAAATATAATTGCCAACAAAAATGAATGTATTCATTTATTTCTGGAACCGTTTAGCACAATGCAATCCTTTGTATGCATTTACCATTACATACAAATTAGACCAGGTCTGTCACAACTTTAGGAGATCCTGCAGGATCTGTCTTGTTGGCACTTACTTCACGCAGATTTCCGCTGCTTGCCTGTTCTCGTTCCCTTACTCATCTGTTCGTTGTTCAATTCCCTGCGTGCCGAAGTCACAAAGAGCTGATCCCGCCCTAATCGCAAGTGATGTGCTGGCTGTGTCACAAGCACCAGCATTCATAAATCGGAGAGCAGGTGATGTTTCACTTGCAGCCTCCAAAAGGAATTACTTGGGTCAAAGTAGAAAGGAGACGTGTTTAATCCCTGTGCAGGACTGAATCTATAGGCAAATGGGCAGAGCCAACAGGTTGTTGGAACTGCATCTTTTTTTCAGCTTTACGTGGAAGTGTCCTCCCTCACGTAGGTTTTCAGGAAAAAAGAAAGTTCTCTCACCAGTGGCAATTAGTGATTTTTTTCTCCTTCTCCTTGCAGGTGCTTTCTCATATGTTTTTGTGGTTGATAGGTGGATTTTCCTTTGCCGGGACCAGAGCTGTTATAGCTGAGTTTATGCTGAGGTGATCCTGCCCCTTCCCACCAAGATCATTTAACTGATCCTAAACTTGATAGGAAGGAATTTTCATTGTTGCACTATCTGCAAGCACAAATCTGGATGGAGCTGATTTCAACCCCGTTGCTTCCTACACGTATAGTTGCTATGTTGGATTTCTTGGCCTGTTTATTTTGACAGCAGGAGAAATGCAAGTAGTCTGTGGAATACGGATTTGGTGGTGTTTAGTATATCTTTAACTGGAAGGAAAATCTGAATATCAATGCCCCATGGTGTTTCTTATGGCAGTTTGCTGTTGGTGCAGTTGAGTGGTTGTAGGCACAGACAAAAATTTTCTGGGGAGAAATCTTTTTTTCTTTTTTTTCTTTTTCTTTTTTTTTTTTTTTTACATTCTATGTCTGCTCTCTAACACACATTTTGCATGTTTAAAATGCAGCTGAGCATTTACTTCTGCAAATGGCTGCATTCAGATGGGTCTGTCTTCACTTGTTTTGGTTTTCTTAGCTGAATCCTTTCCTTCTAAGCAAAGGGAGCTTGAATGGTTTTAATTGTAAAGAATACGTTGCACTGTATTATCAAGTGGAGAGGAAGGTTACGCGTTAGGTATCGTTTTATGAACCGTTCCGTGTCATGGGCATTTAGATGGCCCTTATCGTAGTGTCTGAGTTGCTCACAATGTTTAACAAATTTACACTTGAAGCATCTCTTTGAGGTGAAGTGATCCTACTACCCCGGTTTTATAGATGGAACTAGGAAACTGTTGTGATGCCATCTAGCATGATAAAAATTATGTCAGAAACAGCTTTTTTGGTTTAAAGATAGAAAAATGTCATTGCGATACGTTAACAATTCTAGCTATATACTGAACTTTGGATGCTTTCTGCTAGAGCAGGTGTAGGCTGTTGTCTAGCTCAGAAAAGACTTTTCTCTCTGATGTGCGAGGTAGTAAGTGTTGAGACCTGGCTAGATCATGTCTTTTAGCCTCAGAGAAGTCATTGGCAGGAGCCGTGTGTCAGGTAGAACTTCCAAGCGACCGTTTTGAGGTGGAATTGCACAGTGCATGGTGGAAGAGAAATACGTATTTGATGAAAGTAGGATTAAGTAACCTGTTTTATTATTGACAGTTCTGTAGAAAAGCACTGTTTATGCTGTAGTTTGGCTTTAATCCAGCCTAAGCTTTTCTGGCCATGTTAGTTTTCAGCATGCACGAACGCTAGCGTTGGCACATGAAGCGACTACGAACACCAGAAACGGGGAGACAGCAGCACTACGGGGAGACAGCAGCACTCTTGTCTCAGTGGCAGTACACATTATACCAGATGGAGTATACTGTGTATCTAAGAGCAAAGTGCACATAAAAGTTTTGCTGTATCTCTGTATTTACTCGATACCGTTTCAGGGTCTGATGGCCCTTGATTCTCCATATACTGGCATTGTGAATTATAGACAAGTGGCCCAGTCCTATGCTGAAGACTTCCAGGAAGCAGGTGGGACGATCTTGACTGATTTTGAAGTGACAAACATGGAGATGGCTAAAGAGAGTTCTTCAGAAAATGAAGATGGTAAGATTTTGTTCAAAACACGTTTGCTGTGACTAAAACTGCGTTTTAGCCTCTCTCTCTCGTAGGGATATGTTTAGGTGAAAGACAAAATAATGTTAGTGAGAATATTGGGCCAATTCACTTTTTTTCCCAGGGCAGGTCACAAAAGCAAATGCCAGTAAAATAGAGGAAATAGGTTGTTCTTTCATATTAAAAGCACATTTAGCTGAATATTACATGTGCATGCTTGTGATAATACTCATCCTTCTGTCGTAGAGGGCAGGCTGGACCTATGTTGGGCTGTAGGGTGTGGAAGGATAAAGAAAAGCATTGATTCATGAATGCAGTTATGTCCAACGTTTGCTCTGTAGCCTGAAGATCTTCCAGTGGAAGAACCCTTCGTCCTGACAAACTGCCTGTTCTGTCAGTTTTCTATGTTCTATTAATTCCTTCTCTCGTCTAATTATATTACAGGGCTGAAATACCCAGTCATTGTTAGGAACTCTAAGGTAAGACTTACTAAGCTGAAGATTTAATTGCTTAATAGGAAGCTACTTCTCCTTTTCTTAAGAACTTTGTTGAGCTGTGGTGCTTTAATCAGCTCTCTAAAAAAGTTACAACACTGCTGTTTAGTAACATGTTCAATATCATCTAGGACAGCTGTTATAAAAGACAACTTCAGTCAGTTCTTAACAAAGCATATGACCATGTTCAGATTGTAATCTGTAAGGGGGGGAAAAAAAAAAAGCAAGTGTTTAGGACCTTTTCCTGCTGCTGCCTGGCATGCATTTTACTGTATTGGCCCCTTATCTTTCTGATTTGCACATTCTTATGTTTGTTTTTACTATGGACTGTTTTTATGACTTACTCACTAGGTAAAAAACACTTAGTTTTGTGTTTGTTCTTCAACTTTGGCTTCTATGAAAATGATAAGGAGGCATTTGTAATTGTTTTATAGTAAGAAAGCTATGAGCTAGTTTAGTAAAACAGGTGCATATCCTGGAGTCGTTCCTGCAAGTCAGTTAATGCCGCCCAGCGAATGTAGTACTAACCTTTTCATCTTCAGGAGTGGATAAGTGGACTGTTTAAAAAAAAAAAAAAAAAAAACACCAAACAATGAGTAAACAAGCAAAAAAACCCAATAAGCAAACAAGTCCCTCCCATACTCTTTCCAGTTACTGTTTCTTTTTTTGTTCTGTTTCCCCTCTTTCATTTAAAAAAAAGCCTCCAAAATCTGTTAGATTCCCTCACTAAAAAATTAAACAGAATTTATGGAAATATTTTTAGTTGAAAGAAGAATAAAAAGCACAATATATGAAAACAAGTAGTGTGAGGTATGTAGATACGCGATTTAGATTTATTTATTTAGGTAGAAGTGTTTAGAAAGTAAGGTGTTTAGATGTTTAACAGTTCTGCGTGACCGTGTGCTATGAACTCGCTTGGCTTTCTGGATACCGTTCAGTATTACAAATCACTCCCAGTGTGTGGGGTGAAATCTGTGAACGGCCTTATTTATCCAAATATATCGCCGTTGCTTAGCTACCCCACCTATAATGCACCCTCCGGGAATGAAAACCTGGCCGGGGAGCTGCAGGCTAGAATGGCATCGGCGTTTCGTAGGATGCAAGCAGAAATGAGGGAGCGCCCAAGAGAGACGTTCCATTTGCTGGAGGAGCAGTCGCCAACTCTGCTGCGTTGGGTCCTTGCCCTGATGCTTGTGCAATGCATGAGGCTCTGCCTTCTGGGAGCTGAACCTGAAGGTAGCTTGAGAGTTGGTCATGTTTCTTTTTTTACCTTTTTCTTTTTTTCCCCCCCCCTGTAAAGATCCTTCCAGTCCTGCCTGTCCAATGAATTGCCATTTTGGCATGGTTCTCCAGGGAACAAAGGAGAACGTTATCAAGAATGAAATGAAACTACTGAAATATTTCAGCCTCTTTGCAAAAAAATAGTTGTTTTTCTTTCTAATCTCAACTTATTTTTCTGAGGTTTGTAGGTGATGGGTAGGTTGAGGGTTTTTTCTTTTCTTTTCTTTTTTAAGTTCATATATTGAATTTTTAGCTACGGGGTTTTTGTTTTCCCTAGGGTGAGGAAATCTACTGTCGGCACGTTGTGACCTGTGCAGGACTTTACTCGGACCGCTTGTCTGAAATAAGCGGCTGCAGCCCTGAGCCTCGTATTGTGCCCTTCCGTGGAGATTACTTGGTGCTAAAGCCGGAAAAGTGCTATATGGTTAAAGGAAACATTTATCCAGTATGTACTTTCTCTTTTGTGTTTTGCAGTGTGTTCTGAGACCTGCTAAACTATTGAAACAAAGGCAGTATTATGCTGTCATTTCTGGTAGAATGAAGGCAGTGTTGCACAATATGTGAATATAGATTCAGTTGCTTTCTGACGGGACAGCTTGTTTTTGTCCTTTCTTGAGGAACAGGTAGAAGTACCATGCTGAAATATTATTGCCAGTGGATTTGTTGTTTGTCTGTTTTTTAAAAAGATGAATTAGGTTTAGGATTTTTAGGGAAGGAATGAGACGTTTAACGCGATAACCATGTGCCCACCAAAGCCTGACTTCTTTCTTTAAGTTATAATATAAACCTGTAGAAGAGGATCCAAAAGTCCACGAAGGAAGACAGTAAATAATGAATTACTTAGGTGTAGACTTCAATTTTGTGTACTAATTCCCAAAGCTCAGCTGTCGATACTTGTCTCTCAACCTCATCTTTGCAAACCTTTACTTTGTATGATAAAAACTAGACCTGGGAGGAAAAGGACAAGCTCTCTACAATCTGATACGGATAAATGATGCATCAAAGAGAGACAGTCCCAGACAAAAAGTGAAGTTATCACGCGAGAAGAGCGAATTCCTTGGACAGCATTTTAGTTAATTCGTGCAGTACGTTGAAATAGTGCCTTTCTGACCTTAGATTTGCTGGCTAAACGCTGGAGCCAGGTTGCCCTGGGGGATTTGTGGAACCGCAGGCGCTGGATGTCTCTGGCCTGCTCTCCGCTGGGATCGATCCAGGAGCCTGTCGTGGGGTGGGAGGGAGGAAGTAGCAGGGGCGTCAGGGTGCCGCGCGGCCTGGCTTCGTGGCTGCGTGAGCGTGGCTTTTGCTTCTTGAAATGATCTGTTTATTAGGGCCACGTGGGAGGCTGAGATTAGAAAATTGCGTGAATCTGTTTGTGATGTGCTACCAAAAATAAAAGGTAGTTTGTGGAGTGGCTCCACTAAGCTCAGAAAACATCAAAAGAGTATTTTTAGCAGGAAAAGCAGTGCACTGAACACAGGAAAGAAACTTATGTTGATGTAGTTTTCCAGTCGTAACAATGCTCTATTTTTCATAGATACCAAAGACATGCTTAGTTTCAGACTGTGAAATAGTCACCTCTCGAGTGACCTTTTCTAAATAGCTAAAGATCTTGAAGTGTCAGCTCCGGAAGAGATGTACTTACTTAATACCTGCAAAAACTGAGTTGTACTTGCATCTGCATATAGACAGGTTATTTCCATTTAACGTATTTTATTGTAGTGTAATTACTACTGGTGGCCTTTTTGTGTCATTGCTTTTGTTGTGAGTTGATTTATATCCTGAGAAATCACTAAAACGTTCTTCTGTTGTTTTGCTTTTACCTAAGATGCAGCTGGCCCTGTTCTATTCTTCGGTGTTTTCAGTTCGTAACATACTATCACTGTACAATTAACAAGAATTGAAAACAGTGCAGGAGCCAATTGTGTGCTTATTTTGTCGTGATGATTGGAAGTAAAAATGGCAAATTGATTTCTTTTTTTTTTCCCCCACTTGTTTATTTAAAAGGCATTATTTCCTCTTATTGGGAGCATAACTCCTGCAGTGTGTTGTGTTGTGTTTTACCTACTGTGCCATGCTCAGTGAACCCTAAATGTCTGTGCTTTCCCCCTCACAAACGTTTTCCGTGATTCCTGGAGGAATGTGTTGGCTTGAGTGGTGGTGTGGCTGTCTTTCTGATTTGGTTTGAAGGAGTTGTAATAAGTGATGTATCCTGCTTTAGGTTCCCGATCCTCGGTTTCCTTTTCTGGGATTTCATTTCACACCGAGAATGGACGGCAGCGTTTGGCTTGGTCCTAATGCAGTGCTAGCCTTTAAGCGAGAGGGCTACAAATTGCTTGACTTCAGCACTACAGACTTTTTAGATGCTGTTCTGTACAGGTAATCTTTTTGGCTCCTGTATACGGTTATTTAAATGGCATTTTATGACTCCATGGAAGCTAGTTCTTGTCAAAAATCTAGCTGTTGCTTGTGCCAAGTTTTAGGTCTGTTTAAAGACAGTTGTGCTGATATGGGCAGACTTCTCTGAGACATTTGACTTCCTGTGATATAATATTTGAATTATATGAAACTACCAAGGCATGTCTCAGCAGGCCTGAGAACGTAGCTGCTAATGGGAAAGCATTGGCGAGCCACACTGCTGCTAGCGGGGCTCCTCCGGGATTGGTTTTGGTCCAGTGCAGTGTAATATTTTAATCAACCTAGACAGTGTGATATAATCTCTGCAGAGGATGCTTGAAAAAGAGAATACAGAGTGGTCTGAATTGCCTTCTTGAACTTTATCAGACCATTAGTATGCATTTTAAAAATGTCCAAATGCAAGGAAATACATTAGGAGCCAAGAACACAGGCTGGGAAGCTGTCTTGGAAAGCAGCATCTGAGCGGAATTAGGAATCATTGCTGCGAGCGCAAGCATGAATAAACAGAGTATCTAGAGAAGGTAAGAGAAATCTTGCTTCTGTATAAAGGCTACTGAGTGCTCAGTCCTAGAAATTAGACTTGAAAAAGGATGTGGAAACAGTGGGGAGAATCCAAGCAGGGGCTGCAACACAGGTCAGGGAACTGGGAAAAATAGCTTTCTGGCAAGGAGCGCAACTGAAGGCAGTTTATTAAAGGAAATAGTTGAAAGCATCTTGATCATTGTCTATAGATGCTAATACCGGAAGACTCGAGAAAGCAAAGCAAGCAAACAAGACTTGCAAAGACCTAGCAAGATTCATTGACTGAAAGGGGAGGTTTTTAGGAGGGTGATGGTCTTCAGAATGATTGTGGGGGGAAAAAAAATCTCAAGTGGTGTCTCTCTCTCTGTCTCCTCTCATGCCTGTGGGTTTTCAGTCTTTTGCTACTTGATTGGACCAGTGAAAAATCCTAGACCTAGGAAGGACTAGTGTCCAGAGCTGAGTCTCACAGAAGCAATTTACCTGCAACACCAGAGCTCTATTACCAAGACTTGTTGATGTGGGGAAGGAGGAATATGTGTATTTCTCTAGTAGAAAGCATTGGTCGGTTCAGTAATGTTGGGAACGAGAGCTTTTGCCAGGCATTTGCATTTGCTCCCCTGTGTTGTTACAGAGCGTTAGTTCGACATGGCTGCATTCATCATAGAAGATGCATTCTCCTGGAGTTTTTTTTTTTTTTTTCCTCTCCGCAGCGGGTTATGGAAGCTGGTACTGAGAAACTTCTCGTATGGACTGAGTGAAACGTACAGAGCGTGTTTTCTTGGCGCGCAGGTGAAGCAGCTGCAGAGGTTCATCCCTGAGATCACCATCAATGATATACTCAGGTGAAAAACACTTTTTTGTTCGTAGCATACAGTGGACTGTTAAACCTCTTATTCTGAACACTAGTAAATGTATCATTAACTTACTCTGAAATATGTTTCCCAACACAGAAGCATCCAGATGCTTTCCGCAGCAACATCTTTTCATATTGTGTATGTTTGCGTACAGACGAGTTTGATGAAGATTTGTGTGACTTCATGTACTCTCCCTAGGCTGATATTCACATACGTGACATATTCACCACCAAAAAAGAAAAAAAATCTTCATCCTAATGACATATCCGGTAGCATGAACATAGTTTGAGCTCACAAAGGAGGCAAAACACTAATGAAATTCACAGGCGAAGCCAGACTGGGAGTTGTTACTGATATTACTAGAGGGAGGGAGATAGCATATTAGGGACCCCTGGCTAAATTTTTTTTTTAGTTAGGAAGAGAGAAGGCTGCTAATTGACCCTGAGAAGGGAGAAGATGGTTTAAAGCATAGCTGCTTAATGAGGAGAAGGAAGGTGGAAAGCTTTAGGGCTGGAAGAGATCTAGAGGTGGCAGAGGTTGTAGGAAGGTGCTTGCACCTCTGTGTATTGTAGGAGGAGGAGAACAGTGCTGTTTTTACATGTGTGCTGGAGAGCACTATGTCTTCAGGTGAAGGATTGAATACTGCCTTAGTTTGATCACCTCAATAAAATTGTATTCAGCTTCTCAAAATATGGAGAGATGAACAGATTCAAAGGAGTTTAGAAATGATGAGGCGTCTGAAGAGACCTTGTGAGGAAAACTAAGGCATTTAAATACGTGGAGTTGGGTTTAATTGTCCAAACATTTCGAGGGAGAAAAATCTGGAATAAGAAAGGCTCGAGCACGGTAAAAAGGAGCTATCCAGTTCTTGCATTATAAAGTTGTCCTGAAGTTCATGTTTGATGAGGCTTGCTATTTCACAATAAAGGGTTTCCTTTGGAAAACAGAGGGAAGGAAAACACCTTCACAACCAGGAATAATACAGAAAATCCTCTGCCTGGGCACCTGCCCTTGTTTTACCCTGATGACTGTGGGACATCTCCCACCCTGCCTCACAAGGGGTTGAAGCTTCCTGTGCTCCCCCAAAGGCCAGCCTGGATTTTGACTCCACAGCCTGGCTTCGTTACTTCCCCTGAGCCTCTTCACCGGGTCTGAACAAAGTGAATTTCCTTACTTCAGGAAACTCAGAGTGTATAACCTGGAGGAATAAGATGAAATGGAGAAGGGTAGATTTTATGTTAACCTATAAGGATGTTTTACAGCAGGAAGAATTAGTAGCTTCTGGAGCATTTCTTAAATGCTGTAATATTACCTTATTGCTTTGGAGACTTAGAACTAAACAGGCTGGGAGACTGGACTGATCTCCCCGGCCTTGTTGGCGGACGACGGTTTGCAAATCTGAGCCTGTGGGAGAGAGAAATAAGGAGAAACTCACTATTCAGGACTGGAGAGACGGAGTCCCTGAGCTGCAAATTGTTGGTGACTGGAGAATATTTGAAAGAAGTCTTTGGTGCTTTTCCTGTTCTTATAGTATCAGCATTTGACTGTGGCTGGAGGCAAGGTACTTGATTAGGTGGGTCTTCAGTCTGACCCAATATGAATGTTCCTCTCCTTATAAGGGTAGGATAGCAGAAATTTCCACTTTGAGGTTTATTTTTCAGTAAAATGGTACTCTTCTTGTCTCTAACTCTAAACAAACAATGTGTTTATGGTTATTTGCGAAACCAGCTGAGATGGTAACCTGCAGTAAGGTGTTACAGAACAGCAGGACAAGCAATAGCTGTGGAATGAAAGCAAATTTCCTAGGCTGACTTGGAGTCAATGAAGTGTAGTAGCTTTGTTTTTGTCACCAGAGGGTCACAGAAACTCTGACAAGGCGCACAATTTTACAAAATTAGTCTATTCTGAGCTATTATGTCAGATCTCTGCCTATCTGCCTATGTATTATCTCTGAGGAGAATTTGATGTCGTTTACTGCAGTACTTTCACCTCTGAGATAAGATGTGGGAGCCACAAATGTTCACACGTCCCTTATGCTCCTCAGTTCTCTAAAGAAGTGCTAGTGCCCTTTACAATCATCCTAACCATCCTTCTGCAGTCTTTATTGTCATCTTTTCTAAAACCAGCATTGGGAAAATATTAGTGCTTATTACTCGCACAGAAAGTCCATGCGCCGGTATCAGTACATTTTTCTGTTTATGGTCCCTCACTACTGGGAAAGGTTCATTGGCCTGCCATAGAAAAGCTTGGTCTTAATGGGGCCTTAAAATGCAGCAGAAATCCTTAAACTCTTACAGTTGCTGACCGTCAGAGAGCTGCTGCATCGAGCTCAAGATGGCAGGTAGTTGTGCCCTCGGAGGATTTAGAAAGAGCGTGGTTAGCTTGTGAAAAGCTGCAGCCCTGCGGTTTTTCTTTCACATGGGTACATCTGTTGCACGGTGTTCAGTGGTTTTGATGCTCCCTTAAGATTTGGATGGTCAGGTTCAGTTCCCTGCTTTGCCTTGTGACCTTGGGCAAACTCTGCAAATTTATCTACCTGAAGAAATTTAGCAGATGTAATTTTATAATATGATAGCCTGGAATAACTTCCTGAGTGGGTGTACTTATCTGGGCTAAATGTGTCTGCCAGCAAGTGAAACCACCCCTCCCTCCTTTTTACCAGTAAGGGAAATGCTAGAAAATTTATCTATGTACATGAGTTTCTATTTTTGGTTTTTCCTTGCTGCTTCATCTGCAAAAGGAGGTTTATGGCACTTCCGAACTTCCACTGGAGAGAATGCTATGCTAATAAATGCTTTAAAAGATTATTAGGCACTTGACACTGTGATAGTGAAGACCACAGACATTTCTGTAAGCAATGATCATATCATGAACTTTTAATCTGTTGAGTAGGCTTAATGAATATAGATGCTCCCTCTTTTGGCACATGCTATGAAGGTGTTGGCAGTGAAGTAGTCTTATCGAGCCTTATGATCACGCACCTGTTTAGCTGTCAAACGAAACGAATACGGTTAGGTACTGCGCAAATTGCACAGCCATAAAACATTTTCAGGGTGTGTTACACGTTCCTTGCCATGGGAAAACCGTGGCACTACAAATGGTGCAATGCATTCATGTCATGAAAGACAAAGAATGGCTTGTGAGTAAATACCTTTGCGTTTCTTGACAGAAGCGATAGCTGGAAAAAATACAGATGTTTGTGGCCATTTATATAATCGTTATTGTTGGTCTTGATGCTAATAATTATTCTTTGAAACTCAGAAAAACGTGCCACAGGTTGGATAAAAGCTGTATAATTTTAAAATCCGTGTGACTTTGGTTTAGATCTGTCTTTTTGATCTAGAACGAGGCAGACTTGTGTTGTCTTTTTGTCGTCTGTTTCTGTGGAATGTAGAAGCTTCACTGGCTCCCTAATCTTACACAGAGGGATCCACAGGCTAAAAAGTGTGATTTTTTTTAAACATGTGTTTACAGGTGCTTGTAATTGATTCCTCGGTCCTCCTTTACATTTTGTGAAAGAAGTCACTCTTGCTAGCCTTAGCCTTCATCATAGTCCAGTGAAGCTGGCTGGACAGTTAACTTATAACATTTCCTCTCTAATGGTGAGCTCTTCCTTTGCTTTGCAGGGGTCCATCTGGAGTGAGAGCCCAAGCGCTGGACAGCGATGGAAATTTGGTAGATGACTTCGTATTTGATGGAGGCACCGGAGATATCGGAAGCAGAATTCTTCATGTCAGAAATGCCCCTTCTCCTGCTGCTACCTCTTCCCTTGCCATCGCGAAAATGATTGCGGATGAAGTGAAGCAAAGATTTGAATTGTGAACGATGGAAAGGTGCAATGGTTTTAGCCCTCATATGTGGAGCAGCTTGTCTGCACTGAATGAACTCTACAGCCTGTAATGACAAAGATAAAGCAGGCAACTTCTTACTTGCAAGATCAGCGCTGGTATAGCTGTGTGCAAAACCAGCCATTGCAATGTTTGCCTTCGCAAGCCCACAACTTATAGACTTCCTGAATAAAGGAGTTACGATGCCTGATAAGATCTAGTGCTACACTGACATCTGCAAGAAACGAGCACACGGCCAATTTACGGTAGAGGCTGCCTCATTCATCCAAGCAGGGAAAGCCTGCGGAGGGGCTGGTGCTGGGCTTTCAGCGAGGGTCCTAGCGCAGTTGTGGGCCACAGATGGAGCACGAAGAGCTGCTCTGGGTGGGTTGCCCACGCTGACTTCCCATGCCTCTTCCTTGCACTCTGTTAGAGACAGGCTGATCCTCTGAAAAACCACAAGCACGGGGAAGTTCTGTGTGCTTTCTCTCCGTCTCTCTTTATATCGATTTGGAGCGTTCAATCCCCTAACTTATATTAAAATAATGGAGATAGAAGGATAAGCAGTGCTTAAGGGTTCTGCAAATATGGAATTAAGGACTTTATTATAGACTGAAAACAAAATTCAGAGCCTGCTACATGAATGTAGAGTGTTTCAGTGAAAAATAAGCCTAACAAGGGATTACCAAATCCAAGTCAATTTTAGATATGTGATTCAGATATGCAGTCTGTCTGATCTGTCTCTCTTTTTGTATACAGCTGAAATCAAAATGTATGCATAAACAGTCTTTTTTCATCTAACCTAAACTTGGGAAGTCAGCACTGATCAAGAACTACTTTGGTGGGTGGGTTTGTTTTTTTCTTTTGAGTACTGGTAATTCAAAAGCAGCTCATCTTTGTAGAGCGTGTTGAGCAATCCAGTGCAAATGGTCCTTATAAAAGCAAATGTGAAGGGAGGGAAGCTACAGAAACCTGTCTTAATTGAGTCACGTTGCATACCGCTTCCCTTAGTGCTCAAATAGCAATGAGTCAGGAAGGTTTCCCATTTCCCACATGTCTGGCAAGAGGGGAGCTTAGAACGTACTGGTTACTCTTGTGAACTCTTAGGCGTCCTTGAAGCATTATCAAAGGTGCACCTGGAAGAGGATCTGTATGGAGAACGTGCTTTGAACTATAGAGAGCTGTTAAACAAATTTGGTACTAAGCTAACTGAGTATCTTGGTGTGTTCTGCATAATTGCTGCCAAAAAAAGAAAAAAAAGAATTATGTGGCCCCAGGGACAAAGTACTTCAGAATACTTTTAAAGCAGATGTTCACAGGATGTTGGGTAATACAGATAATCGTGGGTAGTTTGCTACCAGGCAATTTGCCATATTCTTTTTTTTTTTTAAGTTACTTTCTGCACTTCTCTAACATGCATGAGGGAGTGTGTTAGCAGAGGAGGTCAGGTGTGCTGGCTGATCTGTTCTCTCTGTACAGGGCTGAGCAACTCTTGAGACTGCAAGGGCTTAACTTTTCCTTTTTTTTTTTTTTTTTTTTCTTCCTCCTGGTGACATCTAGTTCACTAGAAAAGTGACCCCCATATAAGGGCACCTCGGAAATTCAAATCATCGGTTCCTCAAAGAGAAGCTTCGAGCATTATTTTTAGCCGCGATTAAAACCAGACAAAGGTTTAGGTCTTCCAAACGCTCATAGGGCGCACAGCTGTGCAGAAGTCCCGTCTTCGCAAGGAAACAATCGCATCTTCACTCCTTTCCAGAAATGTTGCCTATCAACGGTAAATACTGCAAAAAGATTGCAAAAGCAACTTCCTCCCACGCAAGGTGTGGCCCTGACATGTATTAACAGAATAAAGAACATTAAAACGTAAAGCAGTCATACTATGGTGAATCTGAAGTCAGCGCGCTTAACTGACCGGCCCTCTGTGCTCCTCCGTCGTTTGGTTGCTAGTTCGTTGTCGGGAGAGGATTATTTTTCGGTAGAGTTGAACTGGAGCTCACGAATTTTTACGTAGAATGCTGTGAAATACTTAACGTTTTTAAGCGAGGCGAACTTTTTAAAAGC